TGGGGGGGGCGGGGGGAGGGGGTTGTTACCTGGAAGATGAAGCTGCTCCAGTTGCCGGGATCCATGGCGGAGGGAGGGAGGGAGGTGGCTCGCGCTCACCCTGGGGCGGGAGGAGGAGGAGGCGGCAGTGGGGGAGGGGGAACCCAGGGAGGAGGCGCGCGGGGCGGGCGGGAGGGGGGAAGGAGGAGGAGGGTGGGGGGAGCGGAGCACACTGCGCGCGGGGAGGGCGGGCGGGGGGCGCGAGGACACACAAGAGGCTGGAGCGGGCGCGAGCGCGAGCGCGCGCGAGGCCAGCGGGAGGGGGGAGGTACGAGAGGGACTCTGGCGGGAGGAGGGACGGGGGAGCCACCCAGCAGCCCGAATCGCCCCAAGCGCGAGACCCCTGAGACGGCCGCTGATTGGCTGACGATGGCGCAGGTGGTGGGCGCGCGGGAGACAGGGCGGCTTCTCTCTTACCCCCCCTTCAAAGATTCCACCCCCCTCCTCCCTCCGCCAGCGGCCGTTATTTCGCGCGCACGCGCATAAAACCGCTGCCGTTGCTGAGCGGGAGAGCAGGGGAGCGCGCGCCGGGGGTACGGATGGGGCGGGGCTAAACTCGAAGCGCGCGCCCGCCTAACGGTCGTCGTCCTCGGGCTTTCGCATTACTTTTTTGTTTCCTTTCGGCCACCGTCCTTCCCCCCTCCCCACACTCCAGCGGTTTATTTACAATCCTGCCCTGCTTCATTCCTCCCTGCTTTTCCCAAAGATGGCGCCGAAAGAAGTTATGCGGAGGAGCTTGTGGCCCATCCCAAGGGCAATTATACCCCCGGCCCCGCCCCCGCAGTCCCAAGAATCAGGCCGAAACACCGGAGTAAAAATTGTATTTACACGACACGCAGTTATATGAGGATTAAAAAAAAAAAAAAAAAAAAGTGAGGAAAGGAGCTGGCAGTCGGGAGGGGCCTCAGCGCTGGCTCGCGGCGAGACCCAGGATGTTCGCCTGCAACACAGGACGGAAGGGAAGAGCAGCATTAAAGCTGGGGGCAGGGCACAGGCCAGAGAGGAGGGGGCCAAGCGGTGGGCTCACCTTCAGGAATGACTCCATCTGTTTCCCGGATATGCCCTCCACGCGTTCCAGGTCCTCCACCTGGCGGGACGGCAACGATGGCAAGGGGCCTCGGGGGTGTCGCGCTTCTCCCCTCCCACCCCACCCCCCCAAATCCATTTCAGGGCCGCCCTCCCTGGGCCATTACCTGGCTAAAGGGGCCGTGGAGTTCCCTCCAGCCCACGATGAGCTGGGCCTTCTTTTGGCCAATGCGCTGCAGGCTGCGCAGATCCCGGGCAGAGCCTTCGTTCAGCAGATCTAGTATTTTTTGGCGCCCATGGGCCAGTAGCTCCGGGCTGATCTGTAGCTCCCAGCAGTCCTCAGCCTTCTCCTCTGGCTCTGAGGCATCCAGGGACTCCAGCTATGAGGCAGGGGGAGGTGAGTGACAGAAACAGAGTTTGCTATTCAGCCGGTGGCAGCAAACTGCTTTAGGCTCCTCTGCCAAGGATAGGAGCCTAACAGCAGCTACCTCCCCGCCCTCCCTAGCCTCTCTTTCCTCAAGTGTCTGTCCAAAATCCCTTCTCTCGAGTCACTCTCTGGGCTGATTCTCATTTTATCCTACTTGTGAAAGAGTGGTAGTAGTTGTTGTGAAGATCAAATGAATTAATGAAGTTAAATTTGCCTCATCTCTAAAAAGGAATGAATAAGCTCTCTTGCACTCCCAGGAAGGCACACAGAAGAATAAATCACAGCCACGCCCCCACCACATCGTCTCAGTTTTTAGGTAATTCTTCCAGTGTTGTTTCATTTCTTGAGTGTTTATTAGGTCATGTTTCCCAAAGTGGGCTCTTAAGTTTGTGGAGTGGGACTCAGGCTACACACTACGTAGTAGCTGCTGAGGGTGAGAGCCACCAGAAAGAAAAGGAAGTAACAGGTGATGGATACCCTCTCTGCTAGGTACATACTGCATTTCATCCTAAATTCCCTGTGAGGTATCTCCACATTCAGAGGGTAGGCAACTTGTAAATAGCTGGTGTTTTAACTCCATGGCTAGTGCTCTTCGCATCAGCGCTCACTACCCTTACTTCTCCGCTCCAGATGTGGCTCAAGCATCAGCTGCTCTCACCTTTCTCTTCCGGCCTCTCTTCTTCAGGATATGGATCTCAGCACTTGGGGACGCCACCTGCTCCTGAACTGAAGGCAACACTTGTGAACCGGAATCACGGCAGAGGCTACTTTTCACCCGCCCTCACTTGGTTCTATTTCTGATTCCCCAGTTCCCCTCCAGCCCAAGTGAACCTCTCTTCTTTTGTTGTTTCCATACGACCTTTCTTATACCTGTATTTGAAGGTAGTCTCAACCTGTTACTGCACGGTAATCAGTCCTGCCCCGCTCAGTCGGCCCCGACCGTACTAAGTGCCTGAGCACAGAGCACCCGAGCTCTATTTCAGACCGTCCTCACCACCCACCCCCCTCCCTGGGGTTGCAATATGGTGGGAGCACATGAGTGACATGATGAAAGCTGCTCTGAACACCTCCCACCTTTCCAGGACCTGTCATCTGGGCCCTCCTGGCCCCCACAGCTGAACTTACTCAGTTGTAGGGGCATCACCACAGCCTTTTTGAGGGGCTTTGCTATGGTGACTGTGCGGCAGGCAAGCGGTCGGAGCATTGTGGGAGACGAGTTCTCTTTATCCTTTGGGTCCACAGCCTCCTGTGCCAGAACCTTGGCTTCCAGTTCTTTTTGCTTCATCTTAAGCCTCTGTTGGAAAGGATCAGAGAGACACGTGACCCAGAACAAACTTTCGGGCAGCATGAAGGAGGTGGGTTAGGAAAGTGAGTGCAGGGCTCTGAGGCCCTACCTGGCAGGGTGAGGACCAAGGAGAGAAGCTACCGGGAGACAAATGGAGCATAATTAGGGGCCTTCTAATGATCAGGGCTGCTCAGAGGTGGAACAGGCCCTTTTGTGAAACGCTGAAGGAGAGGGACTATTCAGGCAGAAAGTCCTAGCTTAATTTGGGTTTTAGGAAATGACAAGGTCTTACATTTGTTCCTTTCACCTGGATTTCCACCCCCTCACTTCCTCAAAGCTGACCTCAATCATTTTTCAAAGTCCAGCCACCTTAAGGACATTTAAGCAGCACCCAGAGAACAGGGATTCCAGTGTTAGGTAAAAACTGGATGCTGGTCCAGCCTTCCCGTGCCTTTCCCTATCTGAAGATGCTCAGATTGCTTCTCAAGGCCAGTAGGAATCCCAGCCCCCACCTCCCCAACACTGACCTCAATCTCCAAATCCTTTTCCTCCATTGTTTTCATGAGCACCATCCGCTCTCGCCTCGGGGTGTTTAGCCCATGGGTCCCCTGGCTCCCCTGGGAGCCTAGCAGACGGTCCAAGCTTAGGAGGCGCTCCAGCACAGCGGGGTCCATGCTACTTAGCTTCTGTAGGGGACTGAGCAGACAGAGGTTACTCCGCACCGAGTCCTTCTCTCATCACCCTCTCCACAGCAGCAGGATTCCCCTCATGATGCCTTCAGTTGCTGTATTCTGTGGTTCCAGACTCTGGTGTTAACTTGTTGGGCAACCCTGAGCAAGTCAACCAGACTTTCCAGGTGCAGTGCTTCGTCAGGTGAATGCGGATCCATCACTACTTGCCCAGGTAACCTCTCAGGGATGCCAGGAGATCCGATGAGAACAAGCACTTCATGTGCACCTGAGTTCCAAGTGTTCATGCTCTAAGACACTGCCCTGCCCTGTAGGCAGTCATGGTCTGAATGGAAAGGCAGAGACTGTGAGAAGATGACAGCAAGGGTTGTGTGCTGGTTTCTTTGGAAGAGCAGATGGGGAAAGATTCACCGAGGTCATCTTCAGCAGGGCTTTGAAAGCCACTGAGGACCTCAAATGCCAAGCCTTCTTCCCACGGACAGTAGGAAAGGCCTCTTGGAGCTGAGTCCTGACTTAATTTGAGCATGACAATGCCTAACATTTGTTCCTTCTATCTGGAAAGTCAATTTGATACAACCTTTCCCATGAACCCCAACTTGACTGTATCTTCCTTCCTATACTGTGAACTAGCTCAAGGACAGTGACTGTTCTGTTCCTTGTGTGCAAGTGCCTAGGAAGAGCAGGATCATAAAACATGGGTGAACACTAGAGGTCAATCCTTCCTGGCTCTCACAGAAGCAGCAACTCCTTCCTTACCACACCCTGTCCTACCTACCCTGCATCATCTACTGATGTTCTTGTCTTCTTTCCCTTCCTGAAACCTGAGCCGCCTGAGGTCAGGATCTGACTAGGTCTGACATACCCCAACTCTGAGCTTACCCAGGGTGCCTGTCTGGCAGAGACTTTGCCTATTCACATGTAACACGCATGTGCGGGGTGTATGTTTCTCTGAGCTTATGCACATAGGAGAAGGGACCGCTGACAGCTTGAGAAGGACAAGACAGAGATGGGGTTCTAAGCAAACACCCTTTCCTGTATGTCATTCATTCTCAACTACAGCAGTGCCGTTCCCCCACCGCCCAGGGCAGAGTATGTACTAATCCTTGACCTCCTCGGGTCACCTCTGTTCACTGGTCTTCAGACTTACACAGTTTAGAGAGGCATTTTTTGGGTTTGGGTAGAAACCAGGCAAAAGTAAACCTGCAGCTGGCTCCCTAGACTTAGGGGGGGCCCGGTGGCCAGACACAGAAAGCAAGATCACTAAATAGCAGTGACCTAAGGATTCATGCATCCTGGGCCATGAGATGGGGTTATCAGAACCAGAGAGAGAGAGGCTGCACACACAAAAGGGACTTAGTTTAGAGACTTTGGATTGAGGTTAGAAGCAAAGTTAGGACAGCAACAGGCTCCTTATATAGTCATGGAGATGCTGGACTCTAATGCACAGACTGAGAGGTCTCAGGGAGACATAGCTCTTCGTCTCTTATCTCTCCTTTGCTTTTTATCCTCTAGACCTGAAAGACCTGATCCAGACTACTCCTTGAGCCAGAAGTTAAAGTGCTCATCCTTGGGCGCCTGGGCGGCTCAGTTGGTTAAGCGACTGCCTTCGGCTCAGGTCATGATCCTGGAGTCCCGGGATCGAGTCCCACA